GTGCAGTGAGGAGTCTCATTCTCCTTCGCTGATCTCAAATGAGGAGAAAGAAAACCAACCCACACAAAACAGAACCCTGAAATGGACCGAATCTCTGCGTCTTCAAACAGCCACCGCCCTTGTACAGACCCCACTACCAACAACCTCGCCCACCAAGTCTTGCTTGCGTTCCCCTCTCAAGACGCCCTCCGCCAACTACGTCTCTGGGAAGGCAAGTCCAAACAAAGCAGTCACTTTTGTCTCCTCGTCACCCATCCCTGATTCCCCGGTCACCGCGCCTTTGTCCTCAACAAAATGGTCAAAAGACCATTGGCTCCTCCTGGACTCCATCCTCCAATCATGGAAGCCAGAGAATCAATCCTCTCCCTCCTCTTCTGACTCGTCCGACTCCAATCCAGGAGAAGGAAGCAGAAGCGAACAACCAAGAAAGAGACGTAATTCAACCAGGGTGATTAGTAAATTGTTGGGCAAGAAGGTGTCAAGCCAAGGTGAGAGCATGCGTTTCGAGCAGTGGCATTTGGAGGCTGTGGATGAGTTCCGTGGCTGTGTTCCGGGATGGGAGGAGAAGGTTGTTGCGATGAGAGTGTTTGCTTTGATTGTTGGGGAGGAGAGAAGAGCATTGGGGCTGGTAGGATCAAGTAGTTAGGATGATTGGCGTGACGAATCCAGGTAAGAAAGTGTGTACCGAATCGTAGATATGTTTGATCACGGTGGATTTCAGTTTTTAAATAGCGTGGGTTTTAGTGAGATTAGCATGTTGAAGTCACGGAAAGAAAGCGTTTTGGATAGCAACGTCCTCCCAGTCATTCATTTAATTTTCATTCCGCCTTGATCTGCGTCTCTAGTATACAGTGCATTTGCCAATTCCCGCCACGGTCTGAGCTCTCTATTCAAGCATAGACGCTTGATTGGTATAAAGCACATCCACCACACTGCTCAACTTCTCAATCGTCGCCAATGCGGAGTCGTATCCCTCATCTCTCTCTGTCTCATCGTAGATAATCAAACATCCTGCACCCTGATCCAGAACCCCAATAATCACCTTGTCGAGAATCATCTGACTGAGCTTTCGCTCCACTTGTTGCGTATCGAGTCCGACCATCTTGGCAATATGCTCGATTTCAACGCGGGAGAAGGGCTCGATGACTTTGATAAGGTTCTGCTCCAGCATGGCATCGTAGAGACGGCGGAGATGGTTGCGGATGAAGGGGTCGCTGCCGAGTTCGTGGCGGTAATCATCAAGGGCTTTCTCGTACTCTTCGAGAGAGCGATTCGAGTGGGCACGAGCAACAGCTTTCATAGCTTCCAGGTTCTTGCCGGCATATTTCAAGGCTTGTTTAGATGTCATGAGCTGGTTGACGTCGTCGGCGAGGTTGAGCATGATTTTGCAGAGGAGCATGTATTGGAGTGATGCAGTTGCTTTCTCGGGCTCATCTTGAGTGTGGTATCCGTCCAGAGCTTCGATGAAATAAGAGAAGGCGGTGTTGAAGTCCTTGTCTTCTGCGTGCAGCTTGCCGGATTGCATGTCCAGTCCTGCTTGGAGAAGAGGCGGTGTATAGACTGACGCTGCGGATGTTCGAGCGCTGGTCAGAGCAGCGCGACCTTTAGCTACGTTTCCGAGAGCATGATAGACGCGCGATTCGAGGAGTTGGACTTCAACGAGCACAAGCTTGTCATCCAGACGCTTCAATTCTTTCAGCAGACTGTTGATGAGAGTCAGAGCATCGTAGTAGGATGCTTTGGTCATGTAGAGTTGAACGAGACGGGTTTCGAGGTTTTGTCGAAGGAATCCCCGACGTTCTGAGGTGGCCCATTCGATGCATGACTTCGTGACGGAGATTTGGGTATCGGTGGAATCGGGGATCGTATGGAAGAGATCAAGCAGTTGTCGGACTATAGCACTCATAGTCAGCACCTCAGCTTTACGAATGCATTCTTTGTCAATCCATACCAAGCTTTGCTGTCTTTGCTTTCGCAAACGAGGATAACACTGTCCGACTCGTGGTGACCAGATCCACCAGCTCATCTGACTTCCTGATTATCATCAGCATTACTCAACCGGCTAATTCCCATTCCGCGGCGGCTCACTTTTCATCTCGATACAATTCCCCTAAACTGACCAGCGCGGTCTCATATTCCCGTACGGCGGCGTCTGATGTTACTGAAGGAGGCTTGGAGATTATCTCTTTGTACAGAGCCTCTGCTTTCCTCGGATCTGTTTTCGTTAACCCCTTCGCCTCCTCTATCCTCGCTGAGTTCGCTGGGGCCATCTTGATATGCTGAAGATGGATGTAGTGTTTATGAAGGGGGAAGATGTTTGGGACCCAGGCGGAAGCTTTGGACGCGGCTGCGGACGGCGCTAATTAATCCCTGCAGGAAATTGTTCAGCCTCCCGGAATTTTTTGACTGACTGATTTAGCAAAGAACTCATGAAGATGCCACCCAACAACTGACAGCGAAAATGGTAAGCACACTTGGTCTTAAATATTTCCGACTTGAAGCCTAATGAGTATTTGTCTTAGAAAATCAAGGCTCTCTCCAGACCCTCGTCGTCTGCCCAGGCGCCTGGGTCGCATGTCCAAAGACAACCCCGTAATCTTGACCCTTCCCTTCATCCTTTCGAAAGGGCTCGAGAGTATACTAAGGCCCTCAATGCAACCAAAATGGAGCGTATGTTTGCTGCTCCCTTCATTGCCCAGCTTGGAAAAGGCCACGTTGACGGGGTGTATACGCTTGCGAAAGATCCAAATTCACTTCAACGGTTCGCCAGTGGGAGCGGTGATGGCATTGTCAAAGTTTGGGATTTGACAAGTAGGGAGGAAATCTGGAATGCCCAGGCTCATGAGAATGTTGTAAAGGGAATGTCATGGACGAGGGATCAAAAACTACTTACCTGCGCTGCGGACCGAACGATAAAACTATTCGATCCATATAATACACCATCTGGGACAGCGCCAGCAGCAACCTGGCTTGGAACCAATGCATTTACGAGTTTATCTCACCATCGATTAACAAACTCCTTTGCAGCTGCCTCGTCAGTTATCTCGATCTACGATTTGGAAAGGCAGAACGCACCGCCCGAAGTCCTACACTTTCCCACGTCAACTGATACCATAACCTCAGTTCGATTTAATCAAATCGAGACATCGATATTAGCCTCAGCTGCAACCGATCGGTCGATTGTTCTCTACGATCTGCGAACATCGATGCCGGTGAAGAAAACGATTCTAAACTTTGCCTCGAACTCGATATCCTGGAATCCGATGGAAGCTTTCAATTTTGCTGTCGCCTCGGAAGATCATAATATCTACATCTTCGATATGAGGAAGATGGACAGAGCATTAAATGTTTGCAAGGATCATGTTGCTGCTGTCATGGATGTCGAGTTCTCACCAACCGGGGAAGAACTAGTTAGTGCTTCTTATGATCGCACGGTACGGTTATGGAGCAGAATGAAAGGCCATTCTAGAGATATCTACCATACGAAGAGAATGCAGAGAGTGTTCTCAGTCAAGTTTACGCCGGACTCGAAATTCATTCTCTCGGGAAGTGACGATGGGAACATCAGACTGTGGCGAGCTCAAGCTTCGAACAGAGGGGGAATCAAATCTGCAAAACAACGAACAGCCATGGAGTACAATGAAGCTCTATCAGAAAGATACGCACATATGCCAGAAATTAGACGGATCAAGCGACACAGGCACATTCCCAAGGTGGTCAAGAAGGCTGGCGAGATCAAGGGTGAGGAGCTCAAGGCTATTAAGCGGAGAGAGGAGAACGAGCGGAAACATACGAAGAAGCAACATCAACGGAGAAAGAGTGAAAGAGAGAAGATGGTTCTGGCTTCGGAAAAGTGATTTGTACATGGCGGAATGGGCGGAAAATTGGCGTTGGAGGAATCTTGGCGTTTATATGGCGTTAGAGAAGGATTTGTTGTGTGGGATACCAGTAAGGGTAAGGTGTTTGTTATTCTAAACACATCTTGATTTCAGCTTCAGTTATTCATACGAAAGTATTGGTGACGATGACTTCGTGTGATATCACCCTATATTCTGGCAAATATCCCAGGAAGAGACTTCAAGGCTTATGGAGATTAGGCTATCCTAGACTTCTTGAAACCACCCTGGCCTCGCTCATGACGGAATATCAAGTAGTAGGGCGATAAATAATACATTGCCTCACTCTCCGCCACGCCATCAGAGCAACCAAGCCCTTCAATATCTTCAATGAACTGGGATATTTACAGAGCGGATATGAAACCTCTTGTGATGAGGAAAGAAACTGTTTTTGTCTGATGACTCTGATCAGAATCCAGTATCATCAGGAAATTATCAAAGTCTTTCATTCAATATGTCTCGTATTCTTATTTCATAGTTGTTCCTCTTCGGAAGATGGATTCCCAGAGGTTGAAGGGAAAGACAAGAAGGCTGTGAGCAAGCTGTAGAAATATTTCATCATCCAGCATGGCGATCATCGGAATTGAAATGATGCACTGAATTTAATTTCGGCTACAATTGTTGGTGCAACATATACATTATTTAGACATGAAGACGTATACATAGTGCCTTCTTGATGTATTTTAAAGCAGAATGCACGCACTCGCATCAATCTTGGATAAGCTGGTATATATCGGCTTCTGGGAGATCAAGGTGAAGAAGCTGGAGGGCGTGCAATAGCCCCTATATTGTAAAAGCAAAGGTATACCAGCCTTGTGACTCATGTAACTGCTCAAAAATCGTATCAATACTGCAGCAATGAGAAATCGGTGCAAGATGTCCGGACTCATGGCACTAGGTAATGCCTAGGGCCTTTGGGGTACGGTGTGAATCAATGTTCTATGAAGATAGAACAATGCTTTGCCCTAAGTATTCTCTTACACTCTTCACAACACCCTATCACAGCGCATTTTCCGCTCTTTCCGCCCCCTATCCCGCTTATCATCGGTCTCCAGGCCTTCCTTAATAAATCAAAATGCCGAATTCAGCGAAAACCAAAACAAAGGCTTTGTAGTTCAATGGGTAGAATACCAACCACATGTTGCTCTTGTAACACTATCGTTAGTTGGGTCTGTCGGGTTTGTTGAGCGTTTGCTTTGCTTGCTTGCTGGGTCTGTCTTACGTTGTGCTAAGTTGGAGATGGAGGTTCGATGCCTTCTGAAGCCAAAACGAATTTTTTGTATCTTTTTAGTTTGGTGCGATATTGGAGAGAGACAAATTTTTGGTGTTGAAGAGTATTTTGAGAGGGTGGTTCGAAGCGAGCGTCACCTGATATCACTTGTGGATGTGGGCAGTGAATAGTGAGGATATACTTTTTACTATCACTAATTGGGAGCAAGTATACTTTAAGCACAGCAGTGGTGCAAGCAATTAAGGTGGCGGCTAGAAGATCTCTAGAAGACAACGTAATGTGTCATACTCAGGCCTCAAAGTATTCTTTAACCCTATTTGAGTTAGAATTGAATAGAGTATCACTTTCACATTGTTGAGGATTCAGGTTTTATCTTCTCCTGCCGGTCAAAATATGTAGATTCACGACGGAGTACAGCACCAAAATTGATGATATTTTTGGAAATTAACACCTCTCAAATGGGAGAGTAGACAGTTTCTAGTGGTAATTGAATAGATAAAAGGCGCCGACAAGCCGGGAATTTTTCGCAACTGAGTGTACCACGATCATTGTGGACATAGGAGTGGCACATCAAAGCCAAACATCAGAAAATCTAAAACACCGGAACTGCCTGACAAAACCATGGCCAAGATTTCCCAAATGGCTAACACTAGCGGCATATTTCACCTGCTTGTCCCTGAATGTCATAGAACCTGCGTGACAATGAGAAAGCAAGGACGACGCAATAAAGCTTAAACTGGACGACTAATGATCCATTTTCGGACGATGTCCAAAAGAGCATATCCCTTGACAGCAATGAGCCAAATGACAAGAAATAAGCAAGTCTTCACGAACTCTTCGTACATTGCGCTTTCCAAATACGGGTTTGGTGACTTGCAACAATAGCGCAAATTAAAGTAAACAATTGTAAAACTAAAGTTAGGAAGAAGCCCAGTATGACATGATATGGGCACATGTTTTCGTTAAGGTTTTCGCGGTCAAGCAGGATTAGCATGCCTATAAGTACTAAAGTCAGAGGCGAAAGACTCACAACATTGCCTGAGGGCAACCACGATATGACCATATGACGGTATGACTATGAGAGGGGAGAATATAATGTGCAAAATGAAAAGCAATCAAACACATGGCAAAAGTGGTATCATATTGAAAGCCGAACAAACGCCCATGAAATGCTGAAGATCCCAAACTCCAACCATGAGTCATCTACCAAACAAAGCTGCACCATCAGCTACTCCTCCATTTCTGCATTCTCGCCACCTTGTCTCTCCACTTCCTTCCTAGCTTCAATAGCATTTTCACTCATGGCATGCCGCTCAGCTTCTCCATCCGGCTTTCCCAAGACCTCGGTGATAATCTCACATATCTCCAGCTGCAACTCTTCTCCCGGAAACCTTCCCTCCATTTCCTCCACAATTGTGTTCAGGTTTTCCGGTTTGGTAGGTCTCAGGTTGAGAATCATGAGAAATTCAGCCTTAGTGAAATCATAGGGTCGGAGGCGTTCGAATAGGGTTCGGATAGTGTGCTCATTGTAGGGGAATGGCTTCGACCCAAGAGGTGAGGGAGCTTCATGGAAATAATCAAGTAGCTATAAAATTCCTGTCTCAGCTTCAGACTTCTTACTGCTTTCGGAGGATTCACACCTCTTTGACAACGGTCTCGAGGTTACCCGGCCTCCTCCCTTGCATTTCTTTCTTCGCATATCTTGCCCGCTGCTCCGTCAGATGCGTGTAGACTTCATAGTTGGTCAGCGTGGCCGACTGGGCTTCGAGGATCTTCATCTTTCGGCAATATATTGCCAGTAGTGACGCGGAATGTCAAGCTTCGAACATCGAGATGTCAAGTCTTTCTTTCTGCCACCGCCTACTGCACCCCACCAAATTTTTTGCGCAAGCCAGGCCGTTTCCGGCCTAGCTGAGTCATTTTAGCGTCTGAGCTCGGCAAACCTTACTTGCCCTTGAATCTTTTGAAAGGCAACATAAAATTCTGATATCAAACCACCCGCCTCCTCAAATGGACTGCAAACTCCAAGAACAACGTGGCCGCGTTCCCTCATCATAACATCTACTTCCCTCCTCCTTTCATTACCGCCATCCCTCCCCACCGCCCTATATCTCGACCCCTCGTTCTTTGTTGCCGCGGCTCTCTGCCCACTCTCCAATATCCCGCAATCCACCGAAGGATATCTCCAGCCTCAATCACACCATAATCCAGCCTCGTCCCCGCATTCCAGCATGGTTCGTAATATCGTCGTTCTGGGGGGAAACTCCCATCCCGCTCTTGTCGAAATCATCTCCAATACACTCGGCGTCCCTCCCTGCAATCGAATTCTGAGTAAATTTTCCGTCGGAGAAAGCCGCCTCGAGATTCAGGACTCAGTCCGAGGCAAAGATGTCTACATCATCCAGTCTGGAAGTGGTAAGGTCAATGACAATTTCATTGATCTCTGCATTATGATCTCTGCTTGCAAGACAGGATCCGCAAAGCGAGTCACTGCTGTCCTCCCTTTGTTCCCTTACTCTCGACAGCCCGACCTTCCTTATAACAAGATTGGTGCTCCCCTTACGAAGGCTCCTACAGAAGTCAACCGAGGTGACTTCACATTCGAAAGCCGCCCTTCTACTCCTGGCCCCGGCCAGCCCCAGAGTGCTGGTCTCAGCAATGGTAGCGGTATGGAGGGACTACAAAGAAAACTGGTCAAGACATCTCTTGAGCAACAAAATGGAAACTCGTACACAAATGGCATTACGCCACCACGGCGATCTGATACGATTGACTCCACGTCATCATTGACGAATGGTCGAGGTCGCGGCAGCTCTTCGGGTTCCCAGACAGGTCCTGCGTTTACCACTCATGATATGGATCCTTCTATGCTTACCAAAGAGGCCAAAAGTGTTTTCCAGGCCAAACCAGGATATAAACAATGGGTTGCCCAGGCTGGAACGCTTGTGGCAGACCTCTTGACTTGTGCTGGAGCTGATCACATCATCACCATGGATCTCCACGACGCTCAATATCAAGGTTTCTTCGACATTCCAGTGGACAATCTGTACGGAAAAGGATTATTGAAACACTATATCCGCACAAAGATTCCTGACTACAAGGATGCCGTTATTGTTAGTCCAGATGCTGGTGGCGCCAAGAGGGCAACAGCAATTGCGGATGACCTAAATATGGAATTCGCATTGATCCACAAGGTAAAACTTCCCTTAATTCTTCACTTGCGCAAACTCATATCCCCTTAGGAACGTCGGCCCACCCGTATCACAGACCGACAAAATGCCACTATGATGCTTGTGGGAGATGTTGCAAAGAGAGTCTGCATACTTGTTGATGACTTGGCCGATACCTCCAATACAATCACCCGCGCTGCAAAGCTGTTAAAGAAAGAGGGTGCAACTCAAGTGTATGCCTTGCTCACCCATGGCGTATTTAGCGGCGATGCTATTGTCCGAATCAATGCCTCGGCATTGGATAAGGTCATCGTGACCAACAGCGTTCCTCAGGATGACCATTCCCGTCTGTGTCCCAAGCTGGAAGTTTTGGAGGTCGGCGGACTCTTTGCCGAGGCAATCCGCCGTGTGCATCATGGAGAGTCTATCAGTACACTTTTCTTGGCTCAATAAAGCAGAAGCAGGCGTTTCTGGGGGAGTCTCGTATGTTCAAGTGGTCAGCATTGATTCTTTGGCGTTCAGGAAATTAATGGGACTTGGCCATTTGGGTCGTGAGCTTCGCGCCTCGCATACCATGCCTTGATACAGTTGCTATACCCACCAACCGCTTTGGCGGATCATACCGACTTCCAATGAATTCTGGAAGACATAGACAAGTCATATTTTGGCTTCCACCGAACGCTTTCCCAAGTGCTGGATATGGCGTGGTCACTTTAGAAAATAAGAGATTTTTTTGGAGATCATTGAAATTGGCATTCAATTGAAAGTGATCCGTGGGCGGCCATGTCGGTCTTCTGTGATGCTGAAGAAGGCGTTCATTCCAAATCCAAATATTCTCTTCCTGATTTACCATCGATGAAAATTCAATTTTCCGTCACGGGTGCCACGAGCCTTTCTACCTGCCAAGACACATGACGTTCAGACTCGTGCTCGTCTTATATACGATACGGTCTAACCAGGAGCAAGGGGAGAAAAGCATCTACCACGCATGTTCGGGCCGCAACTATCTTCAGAATATTTGCAGATCTCAGGCTCAGAGAGAAGAAGCTCTGAAACGGTTCACTTCAACAGAAACGGAGGCATGGCAACAGCCGCTCTTCTCAGCAAGGCTGGCCAGCACAAGTTACGGTATGCTTACTTATTAACGGCACTTTCGTCATAAGCTAACTTCGGATGACCGACAATAGAACGACGTCTCACGGCGCTTCTTCTAAAAGAGCCTCAAGCCACAGCCACAGCCCCGGATCTCGGGACTCGGACGGCCTTCGAAGGAAACCACCCCCAGCTAGAAGGGCCAATACGATTATGAAAGCGATCGGCAATGGGATGTGGAGATAAACGTCGTAATATGTGTAACGGATTACCTTCATTGATAGTTAAGGACTCGAAAATGTCTTGGGAAGGCCGTTGATGCGAAGCTGAGCAGACATTTCAGAATTCAGTGCCTGCATATGACTTCAGTTTGCGATGCCATAGTTCTTACCTTCTGCAATGTTCCCAAAAGATGTATGTCAAAAGCCGATAAATTTCCTCTTCTGGGTAGTAAGCGCGAACTGACTTCCAAATTTGGGGTCATCGGAAGCTTCCTTGCAGTTTAGGGTCCGAAATTCATTCTTTTGTTTACAATTTCGGTCAAGTGAGTGTTGAGTTGGACTGGCTTCGGTGACGGATTATGATAGAAAGCTGACGAGTGCCCTGAACAATACGAGATGATTTTCATTTGATGCTTCGAATTTGTGGTAGCGGGGTGTTTCTTTGTTGTTTACCTGTGACGTTCCATCCATTCATTTCTGCCACAAGGTGACAAGAATGGCAGTTGAGCAGGAAGGAGCAGACACCCCTTTTCTAAGAACCTTCCTCCTCTC